ACCACAAAGCCAGCTCCAGTTCCTTTTTTTAAAGACTTTTTTTATTCATTTGAAAGAGAAACAGTTATAGAGAGAGAGAGAGAGAGAGGTCTTCCATCTGCTGGTTCACACCCCAATTGGCTGCACTGGCTGGAGCTGAGCTGATCCAAAGCCAGGAGCCAGGAACCTCCTCTGGATCTTCCACGTGGGTACAGGAGCCCAAGTGCTTGGGCCATCCTCCACTGCTTTCCCAGGCCACAGCAGAGAGCTGGATCTGGAGTGGAGGAGCCGGACTCAAACCAGCACCCATATGGGATGCCGGCACTTCAGGCCAGGGTGTTAACCCACTGTGCCACAGCGCTGACCCCTTCCTTTCTAATAATATGTAAATCCTTTAGAAGCTACATGCAATGTGAACTCTCAGTGCCGAAGAGAATGTATTTTCTGCCAGCCATCTCCTATCCCAGACCCTCTGCCTTGTTCTTCAGCTTCCTTGTAGCTCAACACTCTGGATTCAGAGATGTATTCTCTGCAGTATTTAAAGGAGGGAGACTAGACAAGAGTTTGTCAGGTTGGTGTTGTGCTGCAGTGGGTTAAGCTGTAGCTTAGGCCACCCACATCCCATACAGGATTGCTGTTTTGAGTCCTGGCTACTCTGCCTCCAATCCACCTTCCTGCCAATGTACCTGGGAAGGCAGCAGCAGATGGTCCAAGTACTTAAATCCCTACCACCCCCAAGGGAGACCCAGATAAAAAGATCTCTCTCTCTCTCTCTCTGCCCCCTCCCTCCCCATCCCTCTCCCTCTCCCTGTCCCTTCCATTTCCCTCTGTCATTCCTTCAAATAAAAATAAATAAATCTTTTTTAAAAAGAAAAGAAAAAGAGGTCGTTAAGGACTGGCGCTGTGGCTCACTTGATTAATCCTCCGCCCGCAGCGCCGGCATCCCATATGGGTGCCGGGTTCTAGTCCCGGTTGCTCTTCTTCTAGGCCAGCTCTCTGCTGTGGCCCGGGAGTGCAGTGGAGGATGGCCCACCACATGGGAGACCAGGAGGAAGCACCTGGCTCTTGGCTTTGGATCAGCATAGATCCAGCCGTAGTAGCCATTTGGGGGGGTGAACCAACGGAAGGAAGACCTTTCTCTCTGTCTCTCTGTGTAGCTCTACCTGTCAAATAAATTTAAAAAGAAAAGAAAAAGAGGCCGCTAGGATAAGATGAGGAACTGGACGGACACTGACTGAGGAGAATAGCACCGCTCACAGAGGGCAGAGCAGAAAGCCCGCCACCTGCTCTTAGACCATGAGAGCCGGGCAGTGCCGCCGGCTGTCCCACTGACTTCCGCAGTTTCTGAACGCTGTGCAGGCCGTTAAATAGGGGCGTGGCGGCGGGGGGTGGGGCGGGGTGGGGGGTGGGGTTGCTGTGCATTCCAGCGGGCAAGGGTGGCAGAGGGGCGGGCCTAACGGTTCCCGCAGGAATCAGATTGAGGATTCCCTGAGACCAGGGGAACCAAGCGCCCCAGCACAGAGGGGGCGCCAAAGACACGGAGCGTGAGCGCACACCGAGGGGTCGCTCTTTGACAACAGCAGTCACTTCCGGCCGCGCACGCTTCTGGGAGCGGAAGTGCTTTAGCTTTTGGCGGGCGGCCGCGTGGCGAGCGACGGAGGGGTCCAGAGTGATCAGGAGGCCAGGTGAGCCGCTTGCGGGAGAGAAAGAGGAACACGCGCCTCAGAACAGCACCGCGAGTGCCGAACCCCACAAAGCCTCGGCCGCTCTCAGTCCTGGGGGGCCGCTGAGCCGAGGCGGCAGTCCGCGGGGGTCTCAGGAATGGAGGCCCCTGGCAGAAGTGGGTACCCCTCCCCCATTAGCAAAGGGCAGAGGCGCGGGCGGAATATGAGTCAACATCGGGAAGCTCGGGTGTACAGACCCACCGGGCCCCTCCGCCAAGGACTAGGACACGGGGGTCGTGAGTGCGAGCCAAGGACTCGAACACAGGGGTCCTGAGTGCGAGCCAAGGACTCGAACACAGGGGTCCTGAGTGCGAGCCCTCTCGTTTCTGATGAGACTGGCAAGCTGAGCCCCTTGGCCTGAGAAGGGGCCCAGGTCAGAGAGGAAGGCGTTCTGCAGGGCATCCAGAAAAGCCCTGAGAAGTTCCTAGGGGACGACCACCCCCAGCAAAGTGAGGTGGCCTGGCGCCTGCCCCTGCCATCAGCCCCAGCAAACATAGGCCTGCTCTCTGGCTGATTCTGCCCGGCGGGCGGTCACAGGGACGCGAAGGCCTTGGATGGCAGGAAGGGTCCTTAGGTCAGCAAACGAAAGTACGCCGAGCACCAAGAATCAGGTGAATGATCCGGTCAGAGGACGGAGGGAGCCCACACTCTGCGGTGGCCTGGGAGGTCTGTGCATGGGAGACATGTCTCGTGCTCACTTCCTCCTGTGGATGTGTCTCGTACTCACTTCCTCCCGTGGACATGTCTCGTGCTCACTTCCTCCCGTGTACGTGTCCCGTGCTCACTTCCTCCTGTGGACGTGTCTTATGCTTCCTCCCGTGGACGTGTCCCATGCTGACTTCCTCCCATGGACGTGTCCCGTGCTCACTTCCACCCGTGGATGTGTCTCATGCTCACTTCCTCCCGTGGACATGTCCCGTGCTCACTTCCTCCCGTGGACGTGTCCCATGCTGACTTCCTCTCATGGACATGTCCCGTGCTCACTTCCACCCGTGGACGTGTCTCATGCCCACTTCCTCCCGTGGACGTGTCCCATGATCACTTCCACCCGTGGATGTGTCTCATACTCACTTCCTCCCGTGGATGTGTCTCGTGCTCACTTCCTCCCGTGGACGTGTCGCATGCCCACTTCCTCCCGTGGACGTGTCGCATGCCCACTTCCTCCCGTGCAACAGTCCCGTGCTCACTTCCTCCCGTGGACGTGTCATGTGGACTTGTCCCATGCTCACTTCCTCCCGTGGACGTGTCTCGTGCTCACTTCCTCCAGTGGACGTGTCTCGTGCTCACTTCCTCCCGTGGACGTGTCCCGTGCTCACTCCTCCCGTGGACGTGTCCCGTGCTCACTTCCTCCTATGGATGTGTCGCGTGGACATGTCTCATGCTCACTTCCACCCGTGGACGTGTCTCGTGCTCACTTCCTCCTGTGGACGTGTCGCGTGGACATGTCTCATGCTCACTTCCTCCCGTGGACATGTCCCATACTCACTTCCTCCCATGGACGTGTCGCGTGGACATGTCTCGTGCTCACTTCCACCCATGGACGTGTCCCGTGCTCACTTCCTCCTGTGGACGTGTTGCATGGACATGTCTCGTGTTCACTTCCACCCGTGGACATGTCTCATGCTCACTCCTCCCGTGGACGTGTCCTGTGCTCACTTCCTCCTGTGGACATGTCCCATGCTCACTTTTTCCCATGGATGTGTCCCGTGCTCACTTCCACCCGTGGACGTGTCTCATGCTCACTTCCTCCCGTGGACATGTCTTGTGCTCACTTCCTCCCGTGGATGTGTCTTGTGCTCCATTCCTCCTGTGGGTGGACATGTCTCATGCTTCCTCCCGTGGACGTGTCCCGTGCTCACTACTCCCGTGGACGTGTCACATGGACATGTCTCATGCTCACTTCCTCCCGTGGACGTGTCCCGTGGACATGTCCCATGCTCACTTCCTCCCGTGGACGTGTCCCGTGGACATGTCCCATGCTCACTTTCTCCCATGGACGTGTCCCGTGGACATGTCCCATGCTCACTTTCTCCCATGGACGTGTCCTGTGCTCACTTCCTCCCGTGGACATGTCTCATGCTTCCTCCTGTGGACATGTCCTGTGCTCACTTCCTCCCGTGGACGTGTCTCGTGCTCACTTCCTCCTGTGGACGTGTCGCGTGGACATGTCTCATGCTCACTTCCTCCCGTGGACATGTCCCATACTCACTTCCTCCCATGGACATGTCGCGTGGACATGTCTCGTGCTCACTTCCACCCATGGACGTGTCCCGTGCTCACTTCCTCCTGTGGACGTGTTGCATGGACATGTCTCGTGTTCACTTCCACCCGTGGACATGTCTCATGCTCACTCCTCCCGTGGACGTGTCCTGTGCTCACTTCCTCCTGTGGACATGTCCCATGCTCACTTTTTCCCATGGATGTGTCCCGTGCTCACTTCCTCCTGTGGACGTGTTGCATGGACATGTCTCGTGTTCACTTCCACCCGTGGATGTGTCTCATGCTCACTTCCTCCCGTGGACGTGTCCCGTGCTCACTACTCCCGTGGACGTGTCACATGGACATGTCTCATGCTCACTTCCTCCCGTGGACGTGTCACATGGACATGTCTCATGCTCACTTCCTCCCGTGGACGTGTCCCGTGGACATGTCCCATGCTCACTTTCTCCCATGGACGTGTCCTGTGCTCACTTCCTCCCGTGGACATGTCTCATGCTTCCTCCTGTGGACGAGTCCTGTGCTCACTTCCTCTGGTAGATGTGTCTCGTGCTCAATTCCTCCCATGGACATGTCTCATGCTTCCTCCTGTGGACATGTCCTGTGCTCACTTCCTCCCGTGGACGTGTCTTGTGCTTCCTCCCATGGACGTGTCCTGTGCTTCCTCCCGTGGACATGTCCTGTGCTCACTTCCTCCCATGGACCTGTCTTGTGCTTCCTCCCGTGGACGTGTCCCGTGCTCACTTCCTCCGGTGGACGTGTCCCGTACTTACTTCCTCCTGTGGATGTCTCCGATGCTCATTTCTTCCTGTGGCACGGTCCGTAGGAGGTGCTGGTGCTGGTGAAGGTAACATGTCGTTTCTTTCCTCAAAGAAAAGGCCTAATGCCCATAGTAGGATAATTTCCGGGAATGAGATCAGCGCCATGACCTTTGAGGGATATACTGACAAAGGGGTTCCACAGAGTCCGTCCCCTATTCTCAGTCCTAGGAGGCCACGGGTAGGTGAGGTGGCCTCATATCCTCCTAGGAGTCTCAGGTGACACCGACAGGAAGAGAACTCCCAGGCCATGTGAGGGATCACGGGAAGCTTTGAAGGGGACCACCCACATGTGAACAGATAACAAAGCATCACAGCCCCCATGTTGCATTCAGCACATGAAGGTCCATGGCAGAACCATCTGTGAGGCTCCCTCTCACTTTGGATCAGGGTGAAGGGGGAGGACATCTTTGGTGCTAGGGTACAGGGCCCAGGCAGCAGACAGGAGGGGTATTGAGATCAAGAACAAGAACTACTGACCCAGGCATCCCATGACCAGCAGGGATCCACATCTCAGGTAGCCCCTGACACGGAGGGTAGGCAGGGGGGAGTTCCTTCACTCCTCCTCTAGGGTCTTGGGGAGGTGCTGGGAAGAGCAGAAGAGAGGGGACCAGGACCTGTTGACAGATGTAATGATTGTGATTTTGAATGAAATGATCCCCCACACCCCGAAACAGGACCCCCACTGCAAGCCCCTGCAACGACCTCAGAATACCCCAGGAAGGGCTGGCCAGCTACAGCCCAAAGCTCACCCTAAATTCCTCCCCAGGGGCCAGCCTGACTGGAATAACAGGAGCCCTGTGGGTTTCTAGAGCAGTGCTCTCATGGAAACCCACAGGACCCATCTCGGTAGAAGCCACAGTGGACTTCTGTGTCGATGGAGCTCATACCATCTCATTCTCCCCTCTCTAGCTACCTACGGCAACAGCTATCCTGTGCACACTGCTCTCCCTGCTCTCCTTACCTAGAGTCATCATGCCTCGAGGTCAAAAGAGCAGGCACCACGGCCGAGCAAAACGCCGACATGACCAAAATAAAGCTCAGAGTTGTAGGGATGGTCAGCAAACAGCCACTGCAGCAGAAGCACCCCCTCCCTCCCTGCAGAGTCTACCTGTTGCTGAGTCATGTAGCACCCCCCAGGAGCCCCAAGGTGCAGCACATGCCACCGCTGCTTCTGCAGCTGATTCTTACACTGCCTCTGGTAACAATCCCACTGGCCAAGATAAGGAAAGGAAAAGCACCTACAACACCCTAATCCCCACACACAGCTTAGACAGAGAGCTATGTGGGATGATTGTGTTGTTGGAGCAGTTCCTGCTTTACAAGTATAAAATGAAACAGCCCATTTTTAGGGCTGACATGCTGAAGCTTATCAAACGGAGCCACTTACACAAGTTTGATGAGATCCTTAAGAAAGCCTCAGAGCACATCGATATTGTTTTTGCTCTTGAAATGAAGGAAGGCGACTCTGCCTTCCGCTCCTATGACCTTGTCAGCAAACTGAAACTCCCCAACAACGGAAGGGTGCGCCCTGGCAGAGGGTTACCCAAGACCGGCCTAGTGATGAACATCCTGGGTATGATCTTCATGAAGGGCAACCGGGCCACCGAGGAAGATGTCTGGAAATTGCTGAGTATGATGGGAGTGTATGCTGGGAGGAAGCACTTCATCTACGGAGAGCCCAGGAAGCTCATCACCAGAGATTTAGTGAGGCTGCAGTACCTGGAGTACCAGCAGGTGCCTGATACTGATCCTGCACGCTACGAATTCCTGTGGGGTCCAAAAGCCCATGCTGAAACCAGCAAGATGAAAGTCCTGGAGTTTGTGGCCAAGATCAATGACACCGTTCCTGCTGCCTTCCCATCCCAGTATGAAGATGCTTTGAGAGATGAGGAAGAGAGAGCCCGAACCAAACATGCAGCCATGCCCAGCAATGTTGCCAGAGCTAGTGGCGCCCTCAAGTTCCGATGTTCAGTGTGTTCTTCCACCCATTCTTAGCATTCTGATAAGAAAGTATGATATGGATATTGGGATTAAACAATCTCCATGTCAAAGAATTCTACAGTAAAATTAGTGGAGTAATGCAATGGGGGAAAATAGTTACTTCCCCTAATTTCCTTTTAGTCTAGTTTTCTAAAATTAAACAATGTATACTCTTTCTTAGTTTATTTTGTAAAGTAGGAAAAATTAAATCTTATTAAGTTAGACTTCATGTCTCTTCACTGTTTTCTTCACCAAATATTCATTGAGCATCTGGTACTTGGAAGGCTCCTTCGTAAGAATGGATCTTATGATAAGGAAGACCTGGCACCTGCTCTGAGAATTGTGGGGCCTGCAGGCTGTAGTCACACAAGTGAGATATGGAATTATCCTCTGTGACCTATAACAAAAGTAAAATGAATCCTTGAGGTACAGGCTGTTCCTTATGAGAGCAGTCAGGTAGAAATTGCTGAGCAAGTCAGTTTGGTGCATTGGGAAACTTGAACCGTCTAGTTGGATGGATTTAAGTTTTATTTAAAATGTATACCAGATTAATTGACTCAGTAGATGTGGTCGATAGTGTCTGTGCCCTCAGACAGTGTGCTTCAGAGTTGAGAGAGAAGACCTTTGAATGAGTTTTCTCAGGCTGCCATAACAGAATATCAAAGACTGTTCAGTTTAAACAACCGATACTTGTTTCTCACATTTCTGGATAATGGAAAGTCCAAATTCAGTTCCTGATGATGGTGCCTTTCCTGGGTTGCAGACAGTTGCCTTCTCACTGTCCTCACATAGAGGGGAGAAGGAGAGAGGGAGGACAAGGTGAAGTGGGAAGAGGATGAGGAGGGGGAGGAAGTACAGGAATGAAGAGGGGAGGAGAGGAAATCTACCTTCTCTTATATGCACACTAACCCCAACAGGGGGACCCATCCTCATAACATCATCTAAAACTACCTCCAAATCACTATTTTTAAAAATCCCATATATGAAAGCAGTATTGTTTGGATAAAAATCATAACTGCCACTCATTAAATACACAGGGCACAGGCATTGTAGCACAGCAGGCAAAGCCACCACCTGCAATGCCAGGATCCCATATAGGCATGAGTTCATGTCCCAGCTACTCTACTTCTGATCCAGTTCTATTTAATGGCCTGTGAAAGCAGAAGAGGATGGCCTAAGTGGTTGGGCCCTTGCCACCCATGTTGGAGACCCGGGCTGCTGGCTTCAGCATGGCCCAGTCCTGGATGTTGTGGAAATTTTGGGTGAGAATCAACAGATGAAACATCTCTGTATCTCTATCTCTGTCTCTCTGTCTCCATAACTCTCATTTTCAAATAAATTTTAAAAATCTTTAAACATGCAATATTTGCCAGATATCATGACAGCTGCTTTCTAAAAAACACATATGTTCCAATACTCCTACAAAACACATTTATCTTAGTTCAGAAAGCTTTAACATAATGCCACAGACTGAGTGAGTGGCTTCAACCATAGTCATTTCTTGACATGCTGGAGGCCGGGAAGTCTAAGATCAATGTGCCAGCATATTGGCTCCTGGACAGGGCTTCCTTGCAGACAGCTGCCTTCTTGGCCATGTCCTTATATGATGGAGAGGGAATAGATGTATTTGGATTCATTTTTCTGAGGGTATTAATCTCATAATGCAGGCCTCACCTTCATGACCTCATCTAATCGTACGCATCTTACAAATTCACTCCCCCCATATCATCACATTGCGAGCTAAGATTTCACCATATAAATTTTGGAGAGACACAAGCACTCACTACATAGCTGGGTTTACTGAACTTAACTGGCAGATGAAGAACATATAACATCCTCATATTCACAAGGTGGTAACTGATACACACTTCTGATCTGATTTCATCTAGGACACAAGTTATTCCATTACTCCCGGCCTGAAGCTGACTTTGTTTATCTTTTTTAACTTGTTTCCCTCACTACTACAAAAATACACCTCAGACAACTAAAAGGGAAAAAAGAGCTGGATATTTGGTGCAGTGGTTAAGATATTACTTGACGTGTCTGCACTGTGCTGCAGTAGGTTAAGCTGCCACCTCCAATACCAGCATCACATATGAACACCAGTTCAAGTCCAGGCTGTTCCACTGCCAATCCAGCTCTCTGCTAATGCACCTGGGAAATCAGCAGGAGATGACCCAAGTACTTGGGCCCCTGCCACCCACTTGGGAGATCCAGATGGAGTTCCAGGCTCCTGGCTTCAGCTTGAAACAGCCCTGGCTGTACAGGTATATGCGGAGTAAGCCAGAAGATGAGAGCTTTCTCTGTCTACCTCTCTTTCAAATCAAATGAAAATAAATAAAATCAGTTTTAAAAACCAAAGACTTTGTGCACAATGGACTGGATTTGATGGAGTCCATAGCCAGAGTAATAAGAAAAAAAAGATTAGTTGTATTAAAAGAATGAGATAACATTTGCTAACAATATTAAAGTCTATAAATACAATGCCAGTTAATCTCAAAAGATTTGGGATCTAACAAAGTTATCTAACTCAGTTTCTTTCGAATTTTAAAGCTCATTTATTCATTTGAAAGGAAGAACAACAGAAAGAGAAGGAGAGAGAAATCTTCCATTCATTAGTTTCCTCCCAAAAATTCTAGTCCTTGCTACTGTCACACTGAATGCAGTTTAGATAAAGATTATTGGTGGCATCAGAGAAAGGAGGTTATATACTGTGAAACATTTCAGCCTACCATATATACTATTCCCACTGGTCTCAATTTCAAAATGTCACAGCCTAAGGGTGGTGGTGGTTTCCAATCTGCCGACACTTTACAACCAAAACCAGCCTCTGCTCTGGGAAATTATACAAATATACAACAGGGACAGGCTATGCTCCTTTCCTGATTCTGAGTTTGACATATAAAGCCAACATTCATCATAAGGGCTTCCATAGGTAATCTTGAATAAAGTATTGAAATATGATCACAGCCATCAGTGTCCATTATGAATCCATGTATCACAAGGAACTCTAAATGGAATCCACTTAGTGTCTCACTACACAAATGTGGTTCTTGAGCCAGCAGTATCAGCATTATTTGGGAGCTTGTTAGAAATAAAGAATCTTGGGGGTTGGCGCTGTGGCATAGTGGGTAAAGCTACCAGCTGCAGTGCCAGCATCCCAAGTAGGTGTTGGCTCGAGTCCTGGATGCTTCACTTCTGATCCAGCTCTCTGCTATGGCTTGGAAAAGCAGCAGAAGATGGCTCAAGTCCTTAGGCCCCTGTACCCATGTGGGAGACCCAGAAGAAGCTCCTGGTTCCTGGCTCCTGGCTCCTGGCTTCAGATCAGTCTAGCTGCAGCCCTTATGGCCATTTGGGGAGTAAACCAGCAGATGGAAGAATTCATTCTCATTCTCTCATATATTCTCTCTCTCTCTCTCTCTCTCCTTCTCTGTAACTGACTTTCAAATAAATAAATACATTAAAAAAATAAAGAATCTTGAACCCAATCTTGGGAGGTGCAATAATAGGAAGACCTTATTATTTCTTTTTTTCATTTATTTGACAGGTAGAGTTATGGACAGAGAGAGAGAAAAAGGTCTTCCTTCCATTGGTTCACTACCCAAATGGCCGCTACAGCCAGTGCTGTGCCAGTCTGAAGCCAGGAGCCAGGAGCTTCCTCCTGGTCTCCCATGCAGGTGCAGGGGCCCAAGCACTTGGGCCATCCTCCACTGCCCTCCCGGGCCACAGCAGAGAGCTGGATTGGAAGAGGAGCAACCGGAACTAGAACCCAGTGCCCATATGGGATGCCAGCACCGCAAGGCATAGGATTAACCAAGTGAGCCACAGCACTGGCCCCCATTATTTCTTTTTTTAAGAATTATTTCTTGGGGCTGGCACTGTGGTGTAATAGGTTAAGTCTCTGCCTGAGGTGTCAGCATCCCATACAGCTGCTGGTTTAAGCCCCGGCTGCTCCACTTTCAATACAGCTCTCTGCTAATGGCCTGGGAAAACAGTGGAAGATGGCCCAAGTGCTTGACTCCTGCAGCTGCATGGGAGACCCGGAAGAAGCTCCTAGCTCCTAGTTTTGGATTAGCCTAGCTCCAGCCATTGTGGCCATCCGGGAAGTGAACCAGCAGGTGGAAAACCTCTCTCTCTCTCTCTCTCTCTCTCTCTCTCTGTCTCTCTCTGTCTCTCCTTCTCTTTGTAACTCTGCCTTTCTAAATAGATAAATCTTTTTCAAAAAAGATTCTACAAAAGTCACGTAGCTGCAACCTAGGAAACTGTTCATAAAAGCTTTTTTAAAAAAAAGATTTATTTATTTAGAAAGGCAGAGTTACAGAGAGAGGGGGAGAGACAGAGCAAGAAAGAAACCTTCCATCTGCTGGTTCACCCTCCAAATGGTTGCAGTGACTGAAGCTCAGCCAGGATGAAGCCAGGAGTTTGGAACTCCACCCAAGTCTTCCACATGGGTGTCAGGGGCTGAAGCATCTTCAGCTGCTTACCCAGGTGCATTAAAAGGGAGCTGGAGGATCCTATTATTTCCTTTTTTAAAGATTTATTTATTTACTTATTTGAAAGGCAGATTCACAGAGAGGCAAAGAAAGAAAGAGAGAGGGAGGGAGGGAGGGAGAGAGGTTGGTCTTCCATCTGCTGGTTTGCTCCCCTAATGGCCGCAAAGGCTGGAGCTGTGCCGATCCGAAGCCAGGAGCCAGGAGCTTGCTCCAGGTCTCCCAGGTAGGTGCAGGGTTCCAAGGACCCAGGCCATCTTCCACCACTTTCACAGGCCACAGCAGAGAGCTGGATGGGAGGTGGAGCAGCTGGGACCCGAACTGGCACCCATATGGGATGCCAGCACTGCAGGCGGCGGCTTTACCCACTGCACTACAGCACCGGCCCGCTATTATTTCTGAAAAATACCCAGACGATGCTGGTGCTGCTAGCTCAGGAATGAAATTTGTATAGTGAGACATTAAGTTACTGGATTCCATTTGGAGTTTCTTGCTCTACAAGGATTCACATGGGACACTAGTGATTGTGATTGTATTTCAATACTTCATTCATTTTTATCAGCATTATAAAGTAATTCACATGCATTCTAAAATTTGGGATCATTACCTTAAGAATATATGTGCTTGGGGCCGGCGCTGTGGCATAGCGGGTAAAGCTACCACCTGCAGTGCTGGCATCCCATATGGGCGCCAGTTCGAGACCCAGCTACTCCATTTCCGATCTAGCTCTCTGCTATGGCCTGGGAAAGCGGTGGAAGATGAACCAAGTCCTTGGACTCTGCACCAACATGGGAGACTAGGAAG